AGATTAAGTCAGGGAAAGAATAAAGGAGAGCAATAAAAGAGATACCATAATAGAAGAAACCATAATAAATTTTAAGGGAAATCTGGCACTAGGAAAATGTCCAGAGATCTACAAGGATGATCTCAACTAACAATGTAAGCAATAGTGGAGAGACTAGCTTAAATGCCCTTTCCCGATAATGAGATTGATGACTACCTTATATGCCATCCTTGAGCCTTCATCTAGTAGCTGATGGAACGACAAGCAGACACCCACAGCTAAACACTGAGCCTAAGTCTTGGAATCCAGTTGCAGACAGGGAGAAGTGATGAACAAAGAGATCAAGACCAGGTTGGAGAAACCCACAGAAACAGCTGACCTGAATAAGGGGGAGCTCATGGACTCCAGTCTTATAGCTGGGAAACTAGCAAAGGACCAACCCAGATCCCCTGAATGTGGGTGTTAGTTAGGAAGACTGAACAGTCTATGGGGCCTATGGTAGTGGATCAGCATTCATCCCTAGTATATGAATGGACTTTGGGAGTCCATTCCACATAAATCCTATATACATGGTGTAGGGCCTGGGCCCTACTCCAAATGATATAACAAACTTTGATGACTTCCCAAGCCTCACCCTCCTGGGGAACAGAAAGGGGATAAGATGGGGGTGGTGGGATCAGGGAGGACAGGAAGGTGCGGGAACTGGGATTGACATATAAAACAAGTTTGTTTTCAAAGTTAAGTAAAATATATTAAAAAACCAAACATTTTTCTTATTTAGAAAAAAAGGCTGAAATATTGTGCAATATTTGTTTAACTATGCCAAGATGTGTTGCATTTGTTTAACTATGTAAAGATGTGTTGCTGTTTTGCCTTTCCTGCCTAAAGTACTCGATTGGTCTTATAAAAAGCTGAACAGTCACTGGTGAGGAGGGGGTATAGGTGTGACTTCCAGGCATGGAGAGGAAGAGGAGGAATTTAGGCTTGAGAAAGAAAGAAAAAGATATGTCAGGGGCCTGCCAGCGAGACACAGAGGAAATCTGACAGTAGAGAGGTAAAAATAAGAGGTAAAAAGCCCCAAAGTGAAATAGGTGTAGATGAATAGAAACAGGGTAAATTAAGTTGAGAGAGCTAGTAGGACAAGCCCTATCTAGGGCTGAGTGTTCATAATTAATATTAAGTTTCTGTGTCTTTATTTGGTAACTACTTGGCAGCCCAAAGAAAATTTTAATTATTTCAAATGTGAAAACATATTTATTTATTAAAGTACATCATAAAAATCTCTGAAAATGTTAATGAATTTATTTGTGTGTGTGTGTGTGTGTGTGTGTGTATTTGAAAAAGTGCATATCCCTCTAGGCATAGAGGTGCAATCCTGTCATCCCAGCACATGGGAAACTGATAACAGAAGACTGGAAGTTCTAGGACAGACAGAACTACATAAGAAGTATCCTTTTAACGAGGAAAAAGTACGTATCTTAGAATTTTATAATTTCCCTTTATGTATTATCCTGTCAGCTCTAACATGACAAACTCAAGTATTCATTATACTTCCACCCAATTCAAAACTGGTCACTGATTGGGTAGAAACTCACAGATGTGCATTCATGGATGGATTGTCACAATAATGTGCCTCCTACAGTTGCCCCCCAAACAATTAACATTTAGTAAAACAACTCTCTAACACATTGTTAAAGATAACACGATGACCTTGGTCCTCTAGTGCTTTTGTCTACACTGAGTCATGATGGACATTTGCTCTGACTGTGGGCAACCGAGAAGAATGAAATCCCTTATACCTGTAATTATGTCTGTGTAGTCTGCCACAAGAAATTATTTTCCTAGTTTAAAAGCCTGTGCTGAAAATGCCATGTTTGGGGTGATTTCATTAACATTTTAAAATGTTAACAATTCTGTCAGCCCAAACCGAAAATGACTGTGTGAGAAATGAAAGCTTGCATAACTCTGGTACCATCTAGTCACAGCTCATTATCCCCACCGGCTTTTATTATGCAACCAGGGATTGGGGTCAACCTCACAAAATTTAGGGACAATTAAGAAAATTACTGTATGCAGATGTGACTTATGGAGTGAGAATAACTAACTTTCTAAAAGATGAGTTAAACAAAATAAATAAGGATGATGGAAAACCCACAGCGGTTTTGTGGCTTGAGGCAACCTTTAAGTTATTCATTATAAAGACACCTTCCAGGGATTTGCCCAGTTCCCCTGACCCTGTCTTGACTCTTTGAATTTTTTCTTTGACGGTATCCCTCTGGGAGTTTAAAAAAGTCCTAGTCATATTTTCTGAAGTTCTTTGAGCTTATTTCTCATACCTCCCTGATGGGGATGAAAATATTGTCACTGACCCCTATGCATTGTGAACTGCTGCTGGTCTCCAAACCTCACACTCTTCTTTTATGACTTTCAAACTTTATGAGATAAAAACATGTGGGAACAATTGTGAGGACAGAGCCTTTCACCAAAGAGAAAAAAATAAAAGAAATAAAAGGAAAGAAGAAAACCAGAGCATAAGTAGTTAGGCAAATTAAAAGTTTATATTTAGTTTAGAAAGTATTTACTTACTAACCATCCATTTTCCACAGTCAATGACAGTGGAAGACACAGATACAATTTAAAGTTTTCTTTCTCGGGAAATACATTTTAATAACTATCTATTAAGCATGTTAGATGCTAGGCTTTGGACTAGGTTGAATAATAGTGTTTCAATTTAATGGAAATTGTATTCTCTTTAGAAACCAAGTAGGTAAGGATAGAATAGGCTAAGTGTCACTGTAGAATTCAGTATAAAAAGTGCCATAGGATCCTCATGGAGGAAGATTTAAAAATTTAAAAATTCATTTAGTGTGTGTGTGTATGCGCAAATGCATGTATGTGTATGTGCACAAGCATGTGTATGTGTGTGTGGGTTTGTATGCATGTATATGTCTGTGTGTGTGTGTGTATGCATGTATGTATATGCTATTGTGCAATTATGGAAGTCAGAAGACAATATGCAGGAGGCAGTTATCTCCTTCTACTATGAAACTCAATTCTTGGTCTTGGAGGATAACGATTTCTCCACTGAGTAATCTTGCCAGTCTGAGAAATGGGATTTAACTCTAAATTAAACTTTGGGAAGCCAGAAAGATCGTTTGACCTTGATAAAATGTATATGCCACCCAAGACAACAAAAAATTCTTCTCTTTTTTTTTTTGCTAAACAGTTTTAGATCCAAACAGATACGTTTTTTTTCTTGTGTTGTTAATTTTACAAGAGACAAGAGCATACTAGGTGACATGATGTCCTCCCAAAGAAACACTGGGATTATAAATTGAAGCTCTGCTTATATGATGTACAGTTTTCTTTTCTTAAATAAAATACTGAAGCTCAGATATGTACTAGGGTACAAATGGGTTAACTTTGTGCAAATGCCACTAAGTAAAATATATTTGGTTTGATTAAAATGCTATGGGAAAAGGGAAAGTTAGTATTATACATTTTTATCACTAATAGATTTTTAAAAATTTGTTTGAATTTCTTTAATTTTTTGAAACAAGGTCCTGCTATGTTTCCTTGATTGGCCTGAAACTCAATGTGTAGCCCATTGAACTGACAAAGAATCTCCTGGTTCTGTCTTCCAAATGCATGGGTTTAGAGGTGTATACCGTCATACCATGTTTACATCTTTGTTAACAATATTAGGCTGTGCTTTGTCTTAAATTTTGTCATACTTGGTCATTAGAAGATTGCTTGTGTATAGTAAGTGCTCAGTACAATTGTGTGTAAAGTTATGATGACTTCCTGGTCTTTTACCAAATATTTGTGTTTTCTTAAGAAAAAACACCATAAAATTGCTATATTCTGTAATTCAAATGCCATTTCTTTACCTTAAAATGTGTGTTAGTACACTGGCATGATTCACCTCTGAAAAAAGAACTAATTCTCTGACTTGGTCTCTCTGACTATAGGTCACCCTTTCCTAGATAAAAATCAAGTAACCTAAAAATATCATTTAAGGACATTTCCCTTTCTGAGTAATTATAGGGCTATTTCTGTATGAGGGATTGTCCTTTATTTTAGATGGAGTTTTCCATTCCATCTTTCTGAATCAACTGATCTACTAAAGAATAAAGGTACAAATTATAGGATACATACATGTAATTATGTATAAAATAATATATATCCACCCTGTCTGTCTGATGTCTGTCTATCTATCATCTATCAATCATCTATATATTATCTACATATCATCTATTGATCCATCATCCATACATCATGAATCATCTATTTTCTATCTTATCTATCACAAAAATTCTACAAGTAACCACATTCTATGCTTACATCTTTAAATTTTTATATCCATTTTCTATAAGTATACATACAACATAAGTAACAAAGGAAAGAGAAATTGTGTAACCTGATCAAGTGATACAGGAACCAAAAGACAGAACTAAGATTTTAGCTGGTGTGGCTCTGAAGTCTCTGCTTTTAACCAGAATCTAAAATGCATTAAACAATTGTAGGAGAGAAATGCCCATTTTCATGCAACTATTTTTTTCTTTTTATGTATTTATAAAGATTTGTTCAGGCCTACTGATGTGGGAAAGAATAAACAAGGAAATAATTCCTTGCTTTTATCTACTATGAGCCAAGTATGCATTAATAATTTTCACATACAATTTCCTGGACTAATTATTATATTATATCAAGCTATTCTATGTTATTCCAATTTACTTGTTAGGACTGAGGTTCAAGATTTTAAATAATCTGCCAAAAACTCAACAGTAAGTGAAGAACTAACCAGGTCTGAGTACTGTCTCTACATTACAGGGCAAAGACTACAACTCAAAATAAGTAACACATCATGAGATACATGTCTTTCATTGCCCCTAACCATCTCAGAACTATTGGCCTGTAAAGCTATCCAGAATCAAGATTTCTGCACAGTGAATAGATGGGAAACTTTTACTTGCTATCCCAGCTCTGTGGAGGAGAATTAACCCAGTCTTTAATCCTACCTTGATAAATACTGTCCAGAAGTCAGATTTGTGGTTTTCACATCCATGCAGTTCATTGTGCTGGGAAGGAGAGCAAGTTCTGGCTGGATCATGGTGGCTGTGGCTACAGCTCTTGCAACCAACTCCATGGCATCCTGCACGTAGTACTCAAAGACAGTCTGTGTTGTTTTTCCATGAGCAATGAGCCCTAAAGGCAGGCCTTCTGTCCTCAGTTCCTCCAAATTCTGCGAGTCTCCGAGAACCCAGTGAAGCTCAGGAGGTGATAGCCCAAACTGGGTGGAAATTTCAAAAATCTGCCTGATATTCTCCATGTCACAACCAAACATCACCATCGTGGGTGTGTTGTTCTTAACGTGCTCCAGCTGGACCTGCAAGATGCTTAGGAAGTCCTTGGTGGAAGACAGGTTAGCAGTGATGTTGATGATAGACCCAAGGTGGAACTTAGAGTTATTCTCGGTAAGGAGGAGGAACTCGGTGATATTCCAGTCTTCCTGGCATAGCAGCAAGCTAAAATTGTACCAGTTGTTCATGGCCAGAATTGAGACAGTGACATCAGCATCAGAACTTAATGAATTTTCTAAACTCAGTTGTAGGTGCAGGGGATTCTGTATTTAAAGATAAGAAGAAAGAAGAATTAGAAAGTATTGCTCAAAGACAATGACAAGGTAGTTTTGCTGTCCTGTGAGCCCAAAGTCTTTGTTTACTCCTGTGATACTTCCTCTGGGATAAAATTCTCTTACTTTGAAATAGTAATGCTCTTTGTCTAATGACAATCAACTCTTTATCTCAGTTTCCTGAAGATTTTTGTTGAGAGTACCAGAAAACAAATAGCTCTTGGTATAAGTGTAAGAAGTGATGTAATCATATATTTAGTCATAGATTTTTATGGAGTTTTTCTTCCTTACATTTAGTCCCCCTAATGCATCACATTTCTTACACTGTGTTTAATGACTCATTTGTTAGACTTTCCATTAAGGAGAAATAATTGAAAGAAATTACTTTTCTTTCTGTGAAACCACTATTAAAGACATGTTAGCACAATGCAATTCTTGTATAAGAAAACATAGAAGACAAATAGAACTCTGGACCCTTGAGCAAGGCTCTTCTAAAACACAGAAACTATTTTGGGGCACAAACATCATGGTTAAGTGTATAGTCCAATGTTAAAGGCTTGATTACATTTCTATATGCATTGATCTTGAACTCCTGCTATCAAAAATGTTCCATTGAATATATTCATGGAACTTAAATTATTATTTCATCTACTCATGGAACTTGCCAGCTTAATTAAGGAAGAGTTTATCAACAGTCACAAATTATAAATTAAATAGTTGAAGGGTAATCTTACAACATTAATATATTTGTCATTTATTCTTCCCAACAACATACACTTGACACATGATTTCCTGATAAAGTTTAGAACAAAGGTTTATAAATGTTTGTACCAAAAATATTGATCAAATTGAATTAACTATCTTCCAGTTGGAAAATATTGAACTATCTCTGAGAACGTGCCAAAATTCTACTCTGTAATAATTTTTCTTTCCTAAAACACATACCAAGCCATACTGGATAATTCATTTTTTTCTTGAACTGGGGCAAGCATTTTCATGCAGACTCTCTTTTCACCTGGAAATGGATTGTTTGTGTTTATATTCATTTGTCCAAACTTAGTGCTTTCATTCATATTTCTAGAAAGTCTTCTAGGTTGTTGTTAACTGAAGTTTGCTGAAGCTGTAGCTATATTGAAGATTCTGTAGACTGACCTTGGCTGGGTAGAACAATGTGTTTATAGAGAAAATAGTAGATTAAGAACCAAAATAATCAGACTATTTAAAACTCTTTAAAACAATTTACCTTAACTTCTGTGTTTGACCTGACAGCAGTCTTATGAGTATTAGGTTAACTTCTTACAGTGTGTAATTATATATATATATATATATATATATATATATATATATATATATGTGTGTGTGTGTGTGTGTGTGTGTGTGTGTGTGTGTGTATCAACCAAACCCCCCTCAAAAAAAAAGAAGTTCTGAAACTGAAGGTAATAATATCTGGAAATTATAGAAACAATCCCCTTGCGTTTTTGGATCCCACCTATCTAATGTACCAATGAACATATTTGTTGAGTTAGTTTTGTGGATATAAAAGCCTATGTAAACTCTTGAACTGTGGCCCTTTTCATTTAGAATGACTAGAATTCTGGTTCTCTGGTTGTGATCACCCATATTGGCTCAGAGTAAACTATTTCTTATTTCTTTGAATGTAGAACAGTTTTTTTTTTAGCTTTTATTTTTAAATTTTTTTTTGTTCATTTGTTTATATCCATGTGCATTTACAATGTGTTTGCTTTATTGAGTCCTTGATGTGGTGACAAGTTTTTATTTATTTCTGATGGCCACAAAAACAATGCATGTCATATTTCGTTCACCTCTCTACTACATAGCCTTGCTTGCACTATAGTGCTTATGTCACACAATAGACTAAAATTGTGTCTTAAACCTCTTTTCTGACAGAGTGAGTCAGATATAGTGTATGTCAACTGGAATTATTTGTTTATTACCCCAATTCCTGGACTTTGATGATAATAAGAGGGGCTAAAAATCAAATGACGGGGAACAAATCATTCCCAGCATAGTTTCAAGACCCAACAGTTTGCCTGAATTGTAACCAAGGTTCATTCAAGTACTTCCCACAGAGGAATTCACTTGATGAGTGTGAGGAACAGTCTTGTATGAAAGCAAGAATGAGAATAAAATAACCTGATCAAATTGATTACTCAGCAATAGCTGGAGACTTAAAAGAATTTGATAAGAAAAAGGAACACCTTGTGGACACATACCCCATGGAGGGATACTGCCTTAACCTAGAGACAGGAGAGAAGTCCTATTCCCTACTTCAAATGACTTGACAGATTTACATGACCCCACCTGGATGGCATTGCCCTACATGAAGAATTGGGGTGGGGGGATGGGAGGAAGGGGTGGTCAGGGTGCATGTGAGGGGGCAGAGAGGGTAAGAGGGAGGGAGGGAAGGAGAGGGAACTGGGATCGATATGTAAAATAAAAAATAAATTAATAAATAAAGTTTAAAAAAAAAAAGGAAAAGAAAAAAGGAACACAGGATTTAGCTTTTCTTTCTCCACCAGATAATGATTAACCCATGTAATCAGGCTCATTCCTATAATCAATTCTATTGAGGAACTAGAGAAGTTGAAGTTAATTCTTTCACAATCTTAAGAAAGTCAATTCTTCAAATAAATATTTATTAAGTAATTTTTAAGAAGCATTTAGTGATACTAATCTAGCAGCTTTACATTCAGCTTCACTTGGAATTTTTCTCATGACACTAAAGTGATGCTTTCTACAGACACATATGGGTACTTACTACACACACACACACACACACACACACACACACACACACACACACACACACAGAAGTCATAAACAACTTCAAACCTTACAAATTTTGTCAAAGTTATTAGCAAAAATTTACAACACTTGTTGAGCCAAATTAAGGAAATTTGAATGAAGCTTTTTGGCTTAGCCTACATTAGAATATTGGAAATGCAATTTTTGAAAGCAAGTATACCAGCGCCATTTGTTGAAGATGCTTTCTTTTTTTTCCCATTGTTTAATTTTAGCTTGTGTCAAAAATCAGATGTTCCTCAGTGTGTGGATAAATATCAGGGTTTTCAATTTGATTTAATTGGTCTACCTGTCTGTTTTTGTGCCAGTGCCAAACTGTTTTCATTACTATGGTTCTATAGTAGAGCTTGAAGTCAAGGATGGTGATGCCTCCAGAAGTTTATTAATTGTACAGGGTTGTTTTGGCTATCCTGGATTTTTTGATTTTTCCATATAAAGTTGAGTATTGTTCCTTTAACATTTGTGAAGGATTGTGCTGGTATTTTGATGGGGATTGCATTGAATCTGTAGATTACTTTTGGTAAGATTGCCATTTTTTTTTCTATGTTGATCCCACCTATCCAAGAGCATGGGAGATCTTTCCATTTTCTGGTATCTTCTTTGATTTTTTCTTTAAAGACTCAAAGTTCTTGTCATATAGGTCTTTCACTTGTTTGGTTAGCGTTACCCCAAGATATTATATGTTGTTCTGGCAAAACTGGATGTTGACATGTAGAAGATTGGAGATAGATTTTTATCTATTGCCATGCACAAAACTTAAGTTCAAATTCATCAAAGATCTCAATATAAACCCAGCCACACTTAGCTTCCTAGAAGAGAAAGTGGGAGGCACCCTTGAACAAAATGGTACAGGAGCCTTCTTCTTGAATGTAACAGCAGTAGCATAGACACTGGGATCAACAATTAATGAATGGAACTTCCTGAAACTGAGAAGCTTCTGTTAGGCAAAGGTCACTCAACAAGACAAATCGTCAGTCCACAGAATGGGAAAAGATTTTCACCAACCCCACATCTGACAAAGGGCTGATTTCCAAAACATACAAAGTACTCAAGAAGCTAGGAGAAAGAGAAGGGAGGAGAGGAAAGCACGTGAACTGGGAATATTGAGTCAGGGGAGGAATAGATGAGGAGGAGAGAGAGAGAGAGAGAGAGAGAGAGAGAGAGAGAGAGAGAGAGAGAGAGAGAGAGAGAGAGAATAAAAGAGGGAGCCATTATAGGTTTGAAGGGAAAACTGAACCTAGAGAAATATCCAGAGACTGACCCCAACTAACAATTTGAGCAATAGTCGAAAGGTTACCATAAATGTCCTTCCCTGATAATGAGATCGTCGACTAACTTATCCACCATCATGGAGCCCTCATCTAGTAGCTGATAGAAACAGAAGCAAACATCCACAACTAAACACTGAACAGAATTGGAATCCAGATGCAGAAAGGGAGGACAAAACCAGGCTGCAGAAACACATAGAGACAGCTGACCTGAACAAGGAGGAGCTAATGGGCCCCTAGACTGATAGCTGGGAATACAGCATGAGACTGACTCAGACACCCTGAACATGGGTCTCAGCTAGAAGGACTGAGCAGTCTAAGGGACCTCCAGACAGTGGAACCAGGATGTGCTTCTGGTGCACAAAAGGACTTTGGAAGCACATTCCCCATGGAGGGATACTCCCTTAACCTAGAGACAGGAGAGAAGGCCTAGTCCCTATTCCAATTGACTTGACAGATTTGATGACCCCTCCTGGAGGGCTTCAGCCTACAAGAGGAGTGGGGGACATGGGAGGAGGGTGGTTGGGGGCATGAGAGGGTGGGAGAGAGGGAAAGAGGAAGGGAGGGAGGGATGGAGGGAGAGGGAACTGGAATCGATTTATAAAATAAAAATAAAATAAAAAGAAGCTATCTCAAAACATCAAATAATCCAATTAAAAGTGGGGTACAGAACTAAATAGAGAATTCTCAGTCGATGAATCTAAAATGGCTAAGAGACACTTAAGAAATTGTTCAAAATCCTTAGCCATCAGGGAAATGCAATCAAAACCACTCTTGAGATAATCTTACACCTGTCAGAATGGTCAAAATTAAAAATACCAATGACAGTTTATGCTGGAGAGGATGTGGAGAAAGGGAACACTCCTTCATTGCTTATGGGAGTGCAAACTTTTACAGCTA